AACAACACTCACCTATTACCTGGCTCCAAATATTTTTCTAGAAGAAAATTAAAAGAAACCTTTTAGAAATGTGTTTTCTTATTGGTGATTTGAATGGGACCAGGTAGACAGGTGGGGGTAGCACACTTTATGTAGTGAACAACAGCACATACAACATTCCCATTGTTATTTAACTATTTACTCAATATCATAAGGACCAACATCAGATTTCTTTACAAACCTATCAAAAGATCATGGTACTAAAATTGTACAACATTATTTGATACCCTTCTGTATTTCTAAGAACTCTGGAGAATGGAGTTGCCTTATGCTTTGACGATCCTTGGACGTAATTGATGACTGATGGGTAAAGGTCTGACCTGGCATTGGATTATGATATATTCATTTTCAAACATTCATGTTCAAATTTTGTAGTTTATACTTTAAGAAACTTTAAAAAATCAATTTCATTATAGTTAATGCTTGAATGACCATGAATTTCGACAGATATCAAACATGATATATATCATATTTCCATTCATTCCTCATTTTTCATTCCTCAGATTTTGTTCATTTTGTTCATCTTGACCATGGTCAAATCTGATCCTTCCCAAGACAGGCAAAACTGATCCTTCCCACGACAGGTCAAATCTGTTCCTTCACATGACAGGGCAAATCCGATCATTCCTATGCCAGGTCAAATTTGATCCTTCCTTTGCCAAGTCAAATCTGATCCATCACATGATATAAGAGAAATCTGATCTTTCCTATGACAGGTCAAATCTGATCCTTCCTATGCCAGGTCAAATTTGATCCTTCCTTTGCCAAGTCAAATCTGATCCATCACATAATATAAGAGAAATCTGGTCTTTCCTATGCCGGGTCAAATCTGATCCTTCCTATGACAGGTCAAATCTGATCCTTCCCATGACAGGTCAAATCCGATCCTTCCTATGCCAGGTCAAATCCGATCCTTCCTATGCCAGGGCAAATCTGATCCTTCCTATGACAGGCCAAATCTGATTCTTCCTATGCCAGGGCAAATCTGATCCTTCCTATGACAGGCCAAATCTGATTCTTCCTATGCCAGGGCAAATCTGATTCTTCCTATGACAGGCCAAATCTGATTCTCCCTATGACAGGCCAAATCTGATTCTTCCTATGACAGGCCAAATCTGATTCTTCCTATGACAGGGCAAATCTGATCCTTCCTATAACAGGCCAAATCTGATCCTTTCTATGACAGGCCAAATCTGATTCTTCCTATGACAGGCCAAATCTGATTCTTCCTATGACAGGCCAAATCTGATCCTTCCCATGACAGGCCAAATCTGATCCATCACATGATACAGGACAAATTTGATCCTTCCCATGACAGGCCAAATCTGATTCTTCCCATGACAGGCCAAATCTGATCCTTCCCATGACAGGCCAAATCTGATCCTTCCCATGACAGGCCAAATCTGATCCATCACATGATATAGGACAAATCTGATTCTTCCTATGACAGGCCAAATCTGATTCTTCCTATGACAGGCCAAATCTGATCCTTCCCATGACAGGCCAAATCTGATCCATCACATGATATAGGACAAATTTGATCCTTCCCATGACTGGCCAAATATGATCCTTCCCATGACAGGCCAAATCTGATCCATCACATGATATAGGACAAATCTGATTCTTCCTATGACAGGCCAAATCTGATCCTTCCCATGACAGGCCAAATCTGATCCATCACATGATATAGGACAAATTTTATCCTTCCCATGACTGGCCAAATATGATCCTTCCCACGACATATGATATTTAGGCCTTGCTTATAAAGCGAGTGAGGTATTAATTTGCTCTTCAAAATAATGTAACAAGAGACAGGAGAAGTGAGTTTGGCAACTGTAATGATGTAGAGAGTTACACACTGTGTTTTATACCAAGAACAATCTTCCACAGTTCACATGCCGCTACCTGTGCCTGTGGACTGTCTATCCTAGCAAATGATCAGACATTTCAATTCTAGTTTCCCTAAATGAGAAACATTTAGTTGTATTTCTGATAAATACAGTGTATTATTCTTCCATCGCTGTACATATGTGTATGAGACTGGTGCAGAGTAGCAACCAAGTATGATCTTCATGCCACTGTTCTCTACACAAGCAGTCAAGTGGTATGAATACCAAATGCCCCTGTTCTCTACACAAGCAGTCAAGTGGTATGAATACCAAATGCCACTGTTCTCTACACAAGCAGTCAAGTGGTATGAATACCAAATGCCACTGTTCTCTACACAAGCAGTCAAGTGGTATGAATACCAAATGGCAACTGTTCTCTACACAAGCAGTCAAGTGGTATGAATACCAAATGCCGCTGTTCTCTACACAAGCAGTCAAGTGGTATGAATACCAAATGGCAACTGTTCTCTACATAAGCAGTCAAGTGGTATGAATACCAAATGCCACTGTTCTCTACACAAGCAGTCAAGTGGTATGAATACCAAATGCCAATGTTCTCTACACAAGCAGTCAAGTGGTATGAATACCAAATGCCACTGTTCTCTACACAAGCAGTCAAGTGGTATGAATACCAAATGCCACTGTTCTCTACACAAGCAGTCAAGTGGTATGAATACCAAATGCCACTGTTCTCTACACAAGCAGTCAAGTGGTATGAATACTAAGATTAACATGGCAAAGTAGATGTAAGTGCTCCTTTTTTACTAAATAGAATTGAATTTGATGTTGAGAAAGTGTACATTCAAGTCCACTATTATGTCACCATGGATAAGAGACAATGAGGCCGTGAAGATGACACCAGTGGCGTTACACCCCAACTCCACCTAGTTGTGCTTCAAGGGAAGCTACATAGGTTAAGGAACTTGTCTCACAGACCAATGTACTTCATGTACATACCAGGTGCCACAAGCAGCCAAAGTGATGTGGTGCTACTTGACATCATCTGCCATCTTCACAGTACATGTCACGGTTCCCAATGTCATACACACAAATATTACAATGGCAACATCCAGGGCTTTATCTAGACATGCTCAAAAGCAGATATTAAGCCCCCAGTCTGCAGCAAAAGTCAGTCCAAATTAAAAAATTGAATAAAAAACTTCCCAATTCCTGTTAAGATAGTTACATGTATAACCAATGGGAATACTTTCAAGGTAAGTTGTATTTCACTGATAATAGGGGCATTATACAGAAAAAAGCTTTAATGCTTAATTTTGTATTCAATGCAAAGTTAAAATACCTCCGAAATTAAGAATATAAGAACTATAAAATATCCCAAATCAGAACAAAATAAAATAACAAAAAACAATTTAACTGGCAAGAGCAAATAGTTTTAGAATCCTAGATAAATCCTTAAACACCTCCAGTTCTTTGGTATGTATTCTGTTATTTCATGGAAATCTTGAGTTCATTTTTGTTAACGCAGTTTTCATTAGGTAGAGCAGCGCTTCCTGATATGAACAACTACCCCCATCCTCAATCACCATCACCATCACATCACTGACTTTATCTCATTACTAACAAAGGAGTCAAGGGAAGTCTTTTTGGGAACAAGGTTCACAGAACCTTAATAAATGAATAAATACATTTTGATTGCAATACCACAATCTGACTGATATATCAACAACTGGTTTCTGAGAATGACCTCCCAATGCCAGTGTAAAACATGAATTACTACATATAATTTCATCTATTGTTAATCAAAACATGTAGTGGCTGTAAATTATTAATTTTTTCCTCTATTAAATCAATCAATCCCATATTTGCACACTGTGCAACCAAAATAGCTCCATAATTGTGAGAGTCTGCCTTGAGGACAAGTTTGTGCCAAATATTGACAGGTAGAATTTCTATACTCAGTGATTATTGTGTTAATGATTGAAAATGATATGCACTTGCACAATGAATAAAAGTGACACAATTACACATACACACATATCTATATATAATTTCATAAGTACTTATGATTTGAGAGTACAATATATTTAAAATTTCAAACAAACACTGCAGAATACTTTTACCGACATGTTTCATTCATATCATCAGGGATTCTCCCCTCTCTCTGATGATACAAATGAAACTTGTCAGAGTACATATATGACTCAATGAGAACCATACTTCCCTTTTTACTAACTTTGTTTATCTACCAAATGTCATTTTACAAAAGTACAGGGCATGCTTGTGTTGAGTGTCAATATCATTAATGAGATTTTTCTATTTTAAACCAAAATACCCCACCCCCCAACCACCCCCAAAGAAACCATCAATCATGAAGATGTATTATTTTTAAAAAAAATTAAAAATCTGTCCAAACAAAATGTAATCAAGTTGAGATTCATGACCACATATACAGGGTGAGCTCTTAATCACAAATTGCATATGGACAAAATGGAGAAAGGGGGGGGGGGGGGGGGGGGGGGTTCGTAATGCAAGACTGGTGCGTAAAATCTATTGCATTGGCTCCGGTCATAGAGTGATAGTCTGAAATAAACACGTAAATTTATAGGCCCGACAACATCCGGGCTTTATTCAGGGTACACCTCAATAACCTACCCAACCCACAGGCGCAGCAAGGCACGCGCGTGTATCATTCCGAGCGACGGCAAAGGTGTGACAATCAGAATTATTTAATGTGTTGATGGTTACCGGTAAACAACCGATAATCAGTTTGCATATGATTCCTGATTGCAATTAAACGCTTAAACTGTGACTGATATAGACACTTTGTGCAATTGACATGAAGCGCTCAGCAATATACACGGTTATAAACCAGTGCGATATGACAGGTATTTCACCCCCGGCCTGTCGCTAGTTGTCCCAAAAGTTTATAATCACAACAATTTCTGACACAAAGTTGTAATATTTCACTGTCGTTTCACATTTGGGTGTGTTATATGTTATCTCAACCTTTAGAAGACGCGACAAACAACTACCCGAGTTATTGCGTTACTTTGAGCGAGCATTGCCTAGCCTATATATTGGCTAGGTAAACAAAACACTGGCCTACCTTACCTTGTTCATTAGCTAAGTCCATGAGACCCACGGTAACTCCAAAAAAAGCACAATAATATAGGATCTTGAGCGCGGAAATTATCTGGCGAGCCATCGTTTACTCCACGAAGAGTTAGTCCAACTTTTTCACTTTAACTTCATCGTTGTACGAGTTATACTCCACTAGGCCTTCACAGCACTTCGCACTGTGAGTTAGGCTTTTCGCCTCTTGCCGACTAATGCCGAACTCACCGGATATACGTCACGAGTGAGTAAATGATTGGCGCGCGCTCAGTCCCCCGCCATGTAAACAAACACGTGCACGCTGAGAATTAGCCAAGTTGGACTACGCTAGAGAACCGAGCGTACTTCTATTTACACCACAACACGCGTGTGTTTGCGGGAGACCCAGTGGTCGGCGTGAAAGGTTCCACTGACGATAGTGCTGCCATAGCTTGTACAACACGAGGGTCAGCATGGGAACTCACTGGAGAATTACATTCATCACATACGTTATGAAACATTTTGGGATTTGTTTTTAATAACACACACACACACACACACACACACACACACACACACACACACATATATATATATATATATACACACCCACATACACACACACACACATTGTCTGAATATAGTCTAAATCGATGAAAAGAAAATGTGTGGTTATGTAATAAAACCCATGTATTTAGACAGGAAGGTCCTATCCTATAAAAATAAATGCTAGTTACACACACACACACACACACACACACACACACACACACATATATATATTGTCTGAAATGATCAAACTGAAATGTGTATTTATGTAATGTGATGTGCGCAGCATTTGTGAGATAAGATGGAAGGTTGTCTGGGCTACAGGTGAAGTCCTATATAGCTTTCACGTAGCCTTCTGAGACTGAGTGCATCTGATTCAAGGAACCTGTTACTTTCGAGAGAGATAGAGAGCACAAAAAATAACGCGAAGTTGCTGGGATAAGTTTCCAAATCCTTAAACATCAGCAGGTGACGAACGTCACGATACACGATCGTTTGTGTTTGTTGCATGGTCGCAAGTGTGTGATACACGACCGTTAGTGCTTGATGCATAATCGCTAGTTTTGGATGCACGGTCGCTGATATCTGATGCATGAACGCCACAGCAGTCTAATGCATGGCCGCGAGTGGGATGCATAGTCGCCCACTCTAGCTGGATTAATACAGCTTTCATTCACCGCACCACGTATCTAATTTGGGGATCACCTCCGTGGTCTAGTGGATAGGGAGCGTGTGCGGAGTATCGACGGTTCGATCCCCGGCCGCGTCATACCAAAAGACGTTAAAAGATGGTACTTGTTACCCTGTCTGGTGATCGGCATTAAGGACTGGTCGGCTCGAAGTCAGTATACTGTGTCTGAGTGGGGTATTCATGTTAAACTGCGCCATGGGTATCTCAGTGGGCTAGCACTGTAAACTGGCACAAACACACGTGCATGCACGTCGCAATATAAGTGCAATAATCTTGGACGCGACGTTAAACCCCATTTCACCTCACTTCTAATTTGAGGGGCACACTTTTTTTTCCGCTGCTCCACGTCCCTAGTTTGAGGGGCAAAATATTCATTCACTGCACTATGTCCCTAGTTTGAGCGGCAAAAAGTTCATTCACTGCTCCACGTCCCTAGTTTGAGGGGCAAAATGTTCATTTACTGCACTGTCCCTAGTTTGAGCGACAAAATGTTCATTCACTGCTCCACGTCCCTAGTTTGAGCGGCAAAATGTTCATTCACTGCAATATGTCCCTAGTTTGAGGGGCAAAATGTTTTTTTCACTGCTCCACGTCCATAGTTCGAGCGGCAAAATGTTCATTCACTGCACTATGTCCCTAGTTTGAGGGGCAAAATGTTCATTCACTGCACTATGTCCCTAGTTTGAGCGGTAAAATGTTCATTCACTGCTCCACGTCACTAGTTTGAGGGGCAAAATGTTCATTCACTGCAATATGTCCCTAGTTTGAGGGGCAAAATATTCATTCACTGCTCCATGTCCCTAGTTTGAGGGGCAAAATGTTCATTCACTGCAATGTGTCCCTAGTTTGAGGGGCAAAATATTCATTCACTGCAATATGTCCCTTGTTTCATTCCCTTCTTGGTGTCCCTATTTTACGGGATACTATTTTCATTCCCTTCTTGGTGTCCCTATTTTACTTGATACTATTTTCATTCCCTTCTTGGTGTCCCTATTTTACAAGATACTATTTTCATTCCCTTCTTGGTGTCCCTATTTTACTTGATACTATTTTCATTCCCTTCTTGGTGTCCCTATTTTACGGGATACTATTTTCATTCCCTTCTTGGTGTCCCTATTTTACGGGATACTATTAATTATTCCCTTCTTGGTGGCCCTATTTTACTTGATACTATTTTCATTCCCTTCTTGGTGTCCCTGTTTTACTTGATACTATTTTCATTCCTTTCTTGTGTCCCTATTTTACGGGATACTATTTCATTCCCTTCTTGGTGTCCCAATTTTACGGGATACTATTTTCATTCCCTTCTTGGTGTCCCTATTTTACAAGATACTATTTTCATTCCCTTCTTGGTGTCCCTATTTTACAAGATACTATTTTCATTCCCTTCTTGGTGTCCCTATTTTACTTGATACTATTTTCATTCCCTCCTTGGTGTCCCTATTTTACTTGATACTATTTTCATTCCCTCCTTGATGTCCCTATTTTACGGGATACTATTTTCATTCCTTTCTTGTGTCCCTATTTTACGGGATACTATTTCATTCCCTTCTTGGTGTCCCAATTTTACGGGATACTATTTTCATTCCCTTCTTGGTGTCCCTATTTTACTTGATACTATTTTCATTCCCTCCTTGGTGTCCCTATTTTACTTGATACTATTTTCATTCCCTTCTTGGTGTCCCAATTTTACGGGATACTATTTTCATTCCTTTCTTGTGTCCCTATTTTACGGGATACTATTTCATTCCCTTCTTGGTGTCCCAATTTTACGGGATACTATTTTCATTCCCTTCTTGGTGTCCCTATTTTACTTGATACTATTTTCATTCCCTCCTTGGTGTCCCTATTTTACGGGATACTATTTCATTCCCTTCTTGGTGTCCCAATTTTACGGGATACTATTTTCATTCCCTTCTTGGTGTCCCTATTTTACAAGATACTATTTTCATTCCCTTCTTGGTGTCCCTATTTTACGGGATACTATTTTCATTCCCTTCTTGGTGTCCCTATTTTACAAGGTACTATTTTCATTCCCTTCTTGGTGTCCCTATTTTACTTGATACTATTTTCATTCCCTCCTTGGTGTCCCTATTTTACGGGATACTATTTCATTCCCTTCTTGGTGTCCCAATTTTACGGGATACTATTTTCATTCCCTTCTTGGTGTCCCTATTTTACAAGATACTATTTTCATTCCCTTCTTGGTGTCCCTATTTTACAAGATACTATTTTCATTCCCTTCTTGGTGTCCCTATTTTACGGGATACAGTTTTCATTCCCATCTTGGTGTCCCTATTTTACTTGATACTATTTTCATTCCCTTCTTGGTGTCCCTATTTTACGGGATACATTTTATATTCCCTTCTTGGTGTCCCTATTTTACGGGATACAGTTTTCATCCGCTGCTTGGTGTTTCTCTTTTGAGAAGAACTTTCATTCACAGGTCCGCACGATGACTAGACCACGTTCGCGCCGCATCTCACATTTGCCGCGCTTTCCCAGATCATCAATGCACTTCAGTGGAGGGGCCGGTCGCTTACTACCGAGGATATTAATATTACAACAAATACCACTTTTGACCCAGAAACGACAAGTAAATGCACAACACAATGTAAGCAATATGAAACACAGGCGACCTCTGCCCTATTTGGGGAGTACTGGAAGCGTTTATTTGAAAGGGACGTTTTGGCATTGCACTATAAGAACATTGGTTGGAACGACTTGATCCGCACACATCCTTTAACACTCAACATTGCTGGCACCGGTCTGAAGTGTATACACTGTAGCACAGGCTACACCACAAGACCATCATACTGTATGCTGCAGGGCTGGGGATTCCTGCGAGGATGTATTCACGTTTAAGTCGAAATAATCTGTACTTGATGTATAACAATGAAGTTCCGGGTTGTTTCAGTCCACGCCTTCTTGGGGAAGATTGGTAGAATGTAGAAGTATTGTAAAAAGATACTCGGATGTGAGAGAAGTGCTTCAGTGAGGAAATCGTAATACTCCCCACATAGTAATTTCTTTCAAAGCATAAATTCACCCAGGTCCAGCTGAGCTAAATTCCCTATGTTCAAATGTTTAGCTCAGCTGTACTAGTCTGAGATAAGCGATTTTGATTTTCTTTACTTAAATAGTTCTCTTGCGAAAACTATCATACATTATTTGAGGGTTGTCAGAAAAGTTTTCAGCCTTTAAGAAGTTTGCTCAACATCATCCCCTCCAAGGTCCAAACACGTCTCATAACGACGCCGGAGTACCTTGATCCCACAGGTGTACATGGCTCCTGGTGATGTAAAGCGTCCCCCACAGTAGAAATGACGTGATCATTATTTCCACAATGCTTTCCTGACAGCTCTTGCTTCACGTTTGAAAGGAAGCAGAAATCTGATGGTGCCAAATCTGGTGAATACGGAGAATGTTCCATGAGTTCAAAGCCACAGTCATGCATTGCAGACTGCACAGGTGTATTGTCCTGCTTGAACAATACACCTTGGTGAGTTTTCCACGTAGTTTAACTTTACAATTCTCACGCAGTTGCCAAAGCAGATTAGCATAATATTGCCCTTTAATGGTCTGACCTTTCGGAAGGTAGTCCACTGGTAGGATTCCTTTGGAATCAAAGAAGACCGAAGCCGTCAGCTGTCTTCCGTAGGGAGGTTAGGTTTCCACTACTCTGACTGCTGCTTAGCCTTTGGCTGATAGTTGTGAACCCAAGTTTTCACCCATGGTTACAAATCATTTACCAAAATCACATGGATGTGCTTTCTAAATTCGTAAATTATCAAGAGAGATAATGCACATAGAAAGTTTCTGGTCAAGGGTCGGAGCCTTGGAACCCAGCGTGCTGAAACCTTTGTCCAGTTCCTTCCTTAGAATGTTCTCAACTCTCTCATGACATATGCGACCGCCTCCGTGGTCTAGTGGTAGAGCGTCCGCCCGGAGAGCGGAAGGTCCGGGGTTCGATCCCCGGCCGCGTCATACCAAAAGACGTTAAAAGA